GTTTTTCAAAGTATTCTGCCTAGTTTATCTTTAGGTATTGGCATGATTTAATTGGGTGTGTCAGTGTCACTGGAAAGTTTATTTTGAAGCCTATATATTATATATCAGGGTTTCCGTTAGGAAAATTTGGCGCCAGACAAGTGACTGGGAAGATTTTAATTTATTGGACATTTGAGAAATGTACTGGTCATCCATATGCATTTGGTGCATAACCCATTTAGTGCGTCCACCAACGCAGCCAGCGCCATCAATAAACAACGAGGGATATTGGCCAAATGAAGCACATTTATAAGTCCTTAAAAACAGCCTATAACAAATTACAAAAACACTATTCCTTGTGTTTTGATGTGTAGCATATGCAGAACTTCATAGCCCATTGTTTTATTGTTTTTTAATTTCATTAAACAATAAGGGACAGTTCGAAATGTACTGGGGTACGGGGGGTGGTCCAAAACACTGTATATAGACATATGACATTTTAAATGTCTTTATTCTTTTGGAACTTGTGTGAGTGTAATATTTACTGTTCACTTTTTGTTTATTTCACTTTTTAAACATATGTTTCCCATGCCAATAAAGTCCCTTGAATTGAAATTGAATTGTAGCCTCAGTGGCGCTGCCCATGCTGTCACAGATGCTATAATGGCACAGATATAAAGATGAGTCCTCTATCCATCTCTATGTATGAAACCAATCAGTATGTCAAGCAAAGCTCTTAACGCTGCCTGAAAATATTGAATGGCATGCTAACTGCTCCACTGACAACGAATTGACAACGAATGAGTTCCACCGGAACGCAAAGAGTTTGATGCATCTGGCGGACATGAGCCGTTCATTTCTATTCAGTTGAATAGCCATAAATTCGGCGTCTGAACTGTGCGTAAATAGGCTAACCTAACCTCTCCCGTCTTATTTCAATATAACATGCCCTCTCCCTCCCATTGTATCATATGTGGGTATTTTATCTATTAGGCTACACAACTTCATCTGTCAGAGTAACTGTGCACATTTCTTTGTTTGCAAAAGTAGCCAATAAGGTTGACTTTCCTCTAAATCAACATTGTCTACTCCCAGATCAGTGTAGGCTACACGTCAGCCTACTACAACCACATTGCGGTTAATTGCAGTATTTTAAACCATAGTTAAGCCTATGTAACAATTCTTACAGAAAGAAAGGTTTGGAGATGAAGGACATTCAAAATAAAGTGGCCAGTAGTTACCGTGCCAATAAAGCACAGGATTTGCGATTGTTGAGGGAGCGTTGCAAGCAACATTTACGGAGACCTGGTGGCAACACCATTGCACTGTTCACGTTCCCTTTTGACTTTACATTGCATAATTACTGTATCATAGACAAACCTGTCATTGGTAGAAGACCAGCTCCCCTAGACCATTCCTACGTCCAAGGACGGTTCACAGATCACAAAGAAGCAGTGTGTTTAGTATTTGGAGACATAAATCTTATCTCCCTACTCCCTAAAACAGCTCCTCACATCAATCAAAAGCATGCCAGATGAAACAACCCACATCAGCACAGTACAGACCCTCCATGCCTTAACATTAATGCATTCCTTCTAAGTTAGTCATCCATCCATTTATGAGAATAATAATCCCCACAGTAGCCTTGCTATTAGAAAGGCCACCGATGGCAGACCTGGCTCTCAAAAGAAGACAGGCTATGTGCACACTGCCCACAAAATGAGGTGGAAACTGAGCTGCACTTCCTAACCTCCTGCCAAATGTATGACCATATTAGAGACACATATTTCCCCCAGATTACACGACCGACCAATTTGATAACTCCCATATCTATTGGGTAATACCCCAGTGAGCAATCACAGCAGCAAGATTTGTGACCTGTTGCCACAAGAAAAGGGCAACCATTGAAGAACAAAAACCATTGTAAATACAATCCATGTTTATTTATTTTCCCTTTTTTTACTTTAACTATTTGCACATCTTTACAACACTGTATATAGACATAATATGACACCTGAATGTCTTCATTCTTTTGGAACTTTTGTGAGTGTAATGTTTACTGTACCTTTTTTATTGTTTCTTTCACTTTTGTTTATTATCTATTTCACTTGCTTTGGCAATGTAAACATATGTTTCCCATGCCAATAACGCCTCTTAAATTGAATTGAAATTGAATTGAAAGAGAGATAGAGAGAGAGAGATATGCAAGCAGCATGCTAGAACACACCAACATGCATTTCTTTATCCTTGTAAGATAGGCTACTGTGTCTGCTATACATATACAGTTGAAGTCGGAGGTTTACATACACCTTAGCCAAATACATTTAAACTCAGTTTTTCACAATTCCTGACATTTAATCCTAGTACAAATTCCCTGTCTTAGGTCAGTTAGGATCACCACTTTAATTTAAGAATGTGAAATGTCAGAATAATAGTAGAGAGAATGATTTATTTCAGCTTTTATTTATTTCATCACATTCCCAGTGGGTCAGAAGTTTACATACACTCAATTAGTATTTGGTAGCATTACCTTTAAATTGGGTCAAATGTTTCGGGTAGCCTTCCACAAGCTTCCCACAATAAGTTGGGTGAATTTTGGCCCATTTCTCCTGACAGAGCTGGTGTAACTGAGTCAGGTTTGTAGGCCTCCTTGCTCGCAACACGCTTTTTCAGTTCTGCCCACACATTTTCTATAGGATTGAGGGCAGGGCTTTGTGATGGCCACTCCAATACCTTGACTTTGTTGTCCTTATGCCATTTTGCCACAACTTTGGAAGTATGCTTGGGGTCATTGTCCATTTGGAAGACCCATTTGCGACCAAGCTTTAACTTCCTGACTGATGTCTTGAGATGTTGCTTCAATATACCCACATAATTTTCCTTCCTCATGATGCCATCTATTTTGTGAAGTGCACCAGTCCCTCCTGCAGCAAAGCACCCCCACAGCATGATGCTGCCACCCCCGTGCTTCACGGTTGGGATGGTGTTCTTTGGCTTGCAAGGCACCCCCTTTTTCCTCCAAACATAACGATGGTCATTATGGCCAAACAGTCCTATTTTTGTTTCATCAGACAAGAGGACATTTCTCCAAAAAGTACGATCTTTGTCCCCATGTGCAGTTGCCAACCGTAGTCTGGCTTTTTTATGGCGGTTTTGGAGCAATGGCTTGTCCTTGCTGAGTGGCCTTTCAGGTTATGTCGATATAGGACATGTTTTACTGAGGATATAGATACTTTTGTACCTGTTTCCTCCAGCATCTTCACAAGGTCCTTTGCTGTTGTTCTGGGATTGATTTGCACTTTTCACATCAAACTACGTTCATCTCTAGGAGACAGAATGCGTCTCCTTCCTGAGCGGTATGACGGCTGCATGGTCCCATGGTGTTTATACTTGTGTACTATTGTTTGTACAGATGAACGTGGTACCTTCAGGCGTTTGGAAATTGCTCCCAAGGATGAACCAGACTTGTCGAGGTCTACAATTTTTATTCTGAGGTCTTGGCTGATTTCTTTTGATTTTCCCATGATGTCAAGCAAAGAGGCACTGAGTTTGAAGGTAGGCCTTGAAACACATCCACAGGTACACCTCCAATTGACTCAAATGATGTCAATTAGCCTATCAGAAGCTTCTAAAACCATTACATAATTTTCTGCAATTTTCCAAGCTGTTTAAAGGCACAGTCAACTTAGTGTATGTAAACTTCTGACCCACTGGAATTGTGAAACAGTGAATTATAAGTGAAATAATCTGTCTGTAAACAATTGTTAGAAAAATTACTTGTGTCATGCACAAAGTAGATGTCCTAACCGACTTGCCAAAACTATAGTTTGTTAACAAGAAATTTGTGGAGTGGTTGAAAAACGAGTTTTAATGACTCCAACCTAAGTGTATGTAAACTTCAGACTTCAACTGTATAGGCATACAGAAGGAGACTAATTCGTAATTTTTCGATCAGAATATTTTTTGTAAAGATAAGCATTATATTGTTAGATTGTAGGAGTAACTCTGGTAGGCCTAAAACATGCTTCCTCACCTCAGGTTCAACTGTCCGTGTCAGTTGGAGCGCCAGTGCTCACTGCCTTCATACCACAGGCCTGCAGTATAATAGGGTAATAGTCACACCACACCAAACCATCACAAAAGTTTCTTAACTTTATTAGGGTAATATCAAAAGTAAGTCAAGCCATTATTTATAGGTAAAATATGAGCAGGATATTATATCGTGGCAAACACAACATTACAGTTGGAACTTAATTTGGCCAAAGAAAATGGCTCAACAGAATTTAAAAAAAACACTTGTGAACTGGTGTAAACCTTCACAAAAGTTTTGAACAGGTTATATTGCAGCAGTTGCCAAGAAAGACTAGTGCCTACTGTACCCAACAAATGACAACAATAGGCAAATGCGAATTATTTTACAAAAGGCCTACTTATAACCTATCTTAAACTAAATATGGAGCACACAACTAAAAATGGAATTACACTTGTTGATGTTTTGTAACAGGTGTCTCTTTCCATTCATCAAATGGAGCGAGTGCACAGTGTGCTGTTTGGATGCTGGAACATGCGCAAGTAGCCTACTTTTTGAAGTGATTTGTTTGACAATAAGATGAAAGCATCATGACTGGTTGTGTTCATTCCAAATTAATAGGTAATAAAAAACAATATGGTTAAATTACGTCTACTATTAAAAAAATATGTAATGAACGCACAAGCGCGTGAGGTGTTTTGTAACAGATGTCCAAAAAATATAGAGACCCCCCTAATGTCATGGTATAACGTCATGGCACTCTGGACATATTTATTGTTAAAGGACTTTTGATCCAGTAGGCTTAAACAGAATTAACTATTTTTTAAATTAACTTTTTTACAGTATTTCTTGAGATAGGTCGTGTGATGCAGATATATTTATTCAAAAGAGATGAATGACAAAACTATTTAGAGGAAGTTAATGCTATTGTACATTCAGTATTTTAAGTAATAGTAGACCAAAACTAATGCCATCTTAGCCATTTCCCTCTATACTTCCCAGGGAGCACAAATACTGCAACTCAGTGACAGTAAGATAAGACTATTGACAAGTCTAAACAACATTTTTTTTAAAACTCCATAAACCACTACATATATTGAAAATAAAATAAGAAAACATTAACAAATCACTAAACATAAACAAATTCTCTGCTGGGAAAAGCTAAATAAAAAATGCAGACTAGACACCACCCAAACATATCAAATTATATTAGTACCCTTCGTAAATTAATGTCTTGACTACATCTTGATTTCCAAGGGACAAGCAGTTTACACTAAACCAGTGGCATCAAAAAGGATCAGCCCCCATTTTGTATCTCCATGAGTACAAGGAAATACGATGGACAAGAAAAGGGAGGGATATGTACAGTAATTCTAGCTACACTTGCAGGACTTAACAATCATATTGGACAACTGCTCCACCTGTGGGAGAAAAAAAAGAGTACATTCAATGGATAGACATTGTAAAGAATAATGAAAACCCAGCAGCTGTGTTGTCTATGATTTCAATTCAGTGACAATGTTCTGAGAATTTGATTTGATACTTCTAACCATGCAGTATTCACTGACCTTGTGTTGTCTCCCCACATAATAGATAATGGGTAGGGGCTCTAAGACCTGTGGAACACAGCAGGGTTTGGCAGAGGCTCCAGGATTGTGGTGCTTATACAGAGCCAGTACCTGTGGTTGGGTAAACAACACTAGATATCTCACTGAACAGACCATCTCGTTCTGTATCTTGTCTCAATCTCCCCCATGGCTATACAGTGTCTGATTACTGAAAACCCCAACTGTACATATCCTTTAAAGACAGTAAACAACAGGGACGCCTATAGAAACATGACTGGTAGCATTACCTGGGAGTACTTGTTTTCTGTGTTCCATATATAGGTGCAGGGGCCCATGCAGTAGTTAGCAAAGTAGCCAGTGGGTTCATGGATCCACTTCCAGCCCAGGTCCTTACGGAAGTCAATGTAAAGCCTTCGCACACAGCAACTCTCCGATTTGCTGGGGGGTACATACACCTGTGAGTTATACACCTTATTTCTTACAAACAGGGAGTTAACTGGGCGTTAATAGGGAGTTAACAGGGCACTAACAGGGCGTTATGAGGGCGTTAAGAGGGTGTTAACAGGATCTCTAAGTAGGCGTACAATATATCTATCTGCTAAAAGAGATTAACTTTGTTAGTACACATTTAAGAGACATGAATTGATCATTATAAATGTTATCTTGGGCCTGTGGAATAAAGGATAGTCTCACTCTGAGCAGATCTCTTCAGTAGTGGTTTGTCGTTTCTTCCGAGAGCTAAGCTGGCTGTGGCGTTCCACAGGAAGTGACATCAGTAAAATGTGAGGCTTTGATGGCATTTTCATGGAGAGTGTTTCTGTATCTCCCCTCAGCTTGTCCATCCCTATCGTATAAAACATTGCCACCTGTCAGTCAAGAGATTCACAGTGGAGGTTTTGGCAGAAAACTTATGGCTTGAGTTGATTTCAATATAGTGAATAGAGTAAACTGCAAATACCTGCTATTCCGAAGAGGAATTCCTCCATTGGTTTCCCACAATCACAAGGCAACTTCAATTGAAATCCTTGCTCCTCTCCTGTAAAGTGTTGCAAAAATGCTAATATAATGGTGTATGAAACATTTTTTTTTAAACCTGAAGGAATAGGTATACTGTTTTAGGTGTAAAAGTCTGTTGGACAGTTCTTTCACTGTCACGCCCTGGCCTTGAGAGGATGGTTGTCTTTAGTTGGTTTGGTCAGGGCGTGAGGATCTATGTTAGAATTTCTATGTTTAGGATCTAGATGTGTTGTTTCTATGTTTCTTGTTTATGTTCCATGGTAGGCTTGTATGTTTATAGCCTGAGGACATCACGTTACGTTGTTTCTTGTTTTGTTTATGTTTATTGAGTTAAATAAACATGTACGCTTTTCACGCTGCACCTTGGTCTGACCCGTCTCTCAACGATCGTGACAGACGGACCAAGCAGCGTGCCCAGGAGCAGCAGACACCCTGGACACAGGTGGGGAAGAGTTTTTGGACATGGGAGGAGATTTTGGCAGGTAAAGGACCCTGGGCGAAGGAGGAGGCCCAGGCAGGAGAGGAACACAGAAGGCGCCGGCTGAGGAGGAAGCACGAGAGACAGCCACAAAAAATATTTTTGGGGGGGCTAAAAGGGTGGTCGGGGATCGATAGAGAAGAGCCCCGACCACTGCACTCGTGGGGGCTCAAGGAGGAGTCCTCACTGGAGGAGGACTGGGCGCGGAGAGTAAAGGACTGGTACAGTCGTAGACCTCCAGCGCCGGTTCCCAGTCCAGTACGCCTCGTGCCTGCTCCTCGCACCAAGCCAGTGGTGCGTGTTCCCAGTCCGGTACGGCCCGTGCCTGCTCCCCGCACCAAACCAGTGGTGCGTGTATTCAGTCCGGTACGGCACGTACCTGCTCCCCGCACCAAACCAGTGGTGCGTGTCGCCAGCCCGGTACGCCCCGTACCTGCTCCCCGCACCAGGCCAGTGGTGCGTGTTCCCAGTCCGGCCCGGACCGTCCCTGCTCCTCGCACCAAACCAGTGGTGCTTGTCGCCAGGCCGGTACGCACCCTGTACCTGCTCCCCGCACCAAGCCAGTGGTGCGTGTCGCCAGCCCAGTACGCCCCGTACCTGCTCCCCGCACCAAGCCAGTGGTGCGTGTTCCCAGTCCAGTACGGCCCGTCCCTGCTCCTCGCACCAAACCAGTGGTGCGTGTCGCCAGCCCGGTACGCACCCTGTACCTGCTCCCCACACCAAGCCAGTGGTGCGTGTCGCCAGCCCAGTACACCCCGTACCTGCTCCCCGCACCAAGCCAGTGGTGCGTGTTCCCAGTCCAGTACGGCCCGTCCCTGCTCCTCGCACCAAACCAGAGGTGCGTGTCGCCAGCCCGGTACGCACCCTGTACCTGCTCCCCGCACCAAGCCAGTGGTGCGTGTTCCCAGTCCAGTACGGCCCGTCCCTGCTCCTCGCACCAAACCAGTGGTGCTTGTCGCCAGCCCGGTACGCACCCTGTACCTGCTCCCCGCACCAAGCCAGTGGTGCGTGTTCCCAGTCTAGTACGGCCCGTCCCTGCTCCTTGCACCAAACCAGTGGTGCGTGTCGCCAGTCCGGCCCGGCCCGTTCCTGCTCCTCGCACCAGACCAGTGGTGCGTGTTCCCAGTCCAGCCTGGCCCGTGCCTGCTCCTCGCACCAAGCCAGTGGTGCGTGTTCCCAGTCCGGCACGGCCCGTGCCCGTTCCACCGGTGCCTGGTCCAGCTCCGGTCAGCGGATCCACTCCGGAGTCGGAGTAGTCCGCTCCACCGGTGCCTAGTCCAGCTCCGGTCAGCGGATCCACTCCGGAGCCAGAGCAGGCCGCTCCACCGGTGCCCAGTCCAGCTCCGGTCAGCGGTTCCACTCCGGAGCCAGAGCAGTCCGCTCCATCGGTGTCTAGTCCAGCTCCGGTCAGCGGCTCCACTCCGGTACCAGAGCAGTCTGCTCCACCGGTGCCCAGTCCAGCTCCGGTCAGCGGCTCCACTCCGGAGCCAGAGCAGTCCGCTCCACCGGGGTCCAGTCCAGCTCCGGTCAGCGGCTCCTCTCCAGGCCCAGATGTCAGCCCCTCTCCAGGGTCGGGGCCTCCCACACCACGGTCCAGACAGGGCTTGGTGCATCGCGGGAGGATTGCCGATCCAGGCCCAGACGTCAGCCCCTCTCCAGGTTCGGGGCCTCCCACACCAGGGTCCAGACAGGGCTTGGTGCATCGTGGGAGGAAGGATATTGGAAGCATCGCGCCGAGGTCCAGACCAGACCAGGGGCGCAACGGGGAGGCAGAGAGGGAGAGGTCGTCACGCCCGGAGCCGGATCCGCCTCCGAGGCGGAATGCCCACCCGGACCCTACCCTAATGAGTCAGGTGGGTGCGGCCGGAGTACGCACCTGTGGGGGGGGGGGTACTGTCACGCCCTGGCCTTGAGAGGCTGGTTGTCTTTAGTTGGTTTGGTCAGGGCGTGAGGATCTATGTTAGAATTTCTATGTTTAGGATCTAGATGTGTTGTTTCTATGTTTCTTGTTTATGTTCCATGGTAGGCTTGTATGTTTATAGCCTGAGGACATCACGTTACGTTGTTTCTTGTTTTGTTTATGTTTATTGAGTTAAATAAACATGTACGCTTTTCACTCTGCACCTTGGTCTGACCCGTCTCTCAACGATCGTGACATTCACATGCTTTGTCATGGGCCTTCTTTGTAGTGGCACTTCAATCAGACACAGATGTGTAACAGGATATGATTGTCTGTGTTGCAACATACTGTTTGTGTTATGTAATTATATCTACAACCCTAAAGGAAATTGTAACTTACCAGCCTCTTTCAGCCACTCCCTCAGAGTCTGTGTTACATCAAAGGACAACCAGCGATTGGCCCATTCCTTGGAGACAAAATGGGACTTCAGGTAACGTGCCTTATCTCCAACTCCTCTGTAGAGTTCCAGCCTCTGCTCGCTGCCTTCGAACATGCCACGGTTCTTGATGAGGAGACGGAGCTCAGCTTGACAGAGCAGTCGATCAGTCCCCAATACTGACCGCATCTCAGACATGTTGAAAAGCATCTGGTGCTTACTGGTGTTCCCACCTTGGAAAGAAGGAGAGTCAATATGATGTTTAGTACTTTCTACTACTGGACCTGTCAGTGCAAGAGAGTGGGGTATAGAGAAAGAAAGAGAAAGCTTTATTTTACCATAGTACCAGTAATAAAACTACTGTGGATAGATTATGTTATATAAAGACACTCTCAGGGAGAGGCGAATGCAGTTTCAGGTTTGGCCTCAAATGCTATCCGCCGGAGCCAAAATTACCCCTGTGAGTCTGTAACAATAATTACACATTGACAGGGCCGCTGAGGAAGTGAGGCTCTGCTCTCAAAGCCAGATCATACCATGCTGTATTACAATAAACCAACGGCATCAAAAAGGATCTAATCAGAGGGCACGGTCCTGAGAGCTTCTGTGGCAAACCTAACCTGCTCAGAGTTACTGCCTGGACAACAAGTTTACACTGTCGAGATGTATACTGTCTTTTAGACAGAAAAGGGGAAGGACCCAGCAAAGGGAAGGAACATCTGGTAGGGAGAGGTAAAAGGCTGAGGCAGGCCGTGGTTTTAAACACAGTAGACAGGGCCATTGCAGTCAGTTCAGTAAACCAATGGAAGAAACACCCATTTTCAGTCAACAACCTTATCTAAAGGACATAATTATATAAATGTACATTCTAAAAAAGGTCCACCAACTGCAGTTTCTACATTTGCCAGTCGTAAACTACAGCAACATTTCAAATGCATCTTATTCACGACATGCAACAAGGTTGAATTAGCCTTAATAATAATTTGCATGTCTGCCAACCCTCTCTGCATCATCCTGCATCACTCGATCCAGGGTTGTGAAAAGTTTGACAGATGCTTCATGGTATACAGAGATAGCAGACATTTTCTTTTCGAGGGCAGAATCTGTGTCATTTAACAGCACGTACTAAATCAAGTGTTCCTTCCTGCCAGCTATTCAGACAACCAGAATAAGCACCCAGTAATCAGTCAGAGGAAACCTCTGGCCCCATCCATCTGTCTTACCCTCCACATTGTAAGTGACAATATGGTCTAATGTTATTTCACTCCAAATATGGGTGTGATGATGAAAGATTATGAAACAAGCAAAATATATATAATCCCTACTTTTTTTGCATTGCTATACAATTACCATGGTGAAGGCCTGTGGTTAGCTGGGCTTTATATCTTAATCAACCTTTGAATATCCCCCTACACACATCAACCATTTAACACACCTATACTTGACTGAAGTGAGGCTAGAGAAGCATCCACTTTAACTTGACAAGCCAGAGCCTGTGTACGCAGCAGGATGTGTATGCACGTAGACAGCATGCATGGATATATCTACTCACTTTGTTTCATGTTGAACTTGTGGACCTCCTTTGCAAAGTATGCCTCCTCCTCTGCATCTGGAGTGGGTGGTATGTATGTGTGCACCTGTTCCTCACTCAGCTCCACCGTGCTGTTGTAGATGGACATCAGGGAAGCTGGGACCTCCTCATTGTCTCCCTCCTGGTCAATCTCTGGCTCCTTGGGCAGCCGCAGCTTGCTCAGTATCTGTCCACGGATGGCCTCAATACGTTTCCTCTTCACCAGCTCCAAGTCCAGAGACTTACAGGTGGACATGGTGTCACTCCGGCACACATATTCCAGCATCAATAAGGCAGTCAGCATCAAACACACTGCCCTCATTGCAGACTTTAAAGAGGAATAATGTCTATGTCAGCAGGCTTTCAAAGTTGACTATTATGTGGATTTACCGTCCTGTTTGAGCTCACCGAGGCCTGTTGCATGAGCTGATTTCAATGCACTTCTCCTGCTGTTGTCACAATCCTCACTGAAACCCAGGAGGCTTCTGGATCTCAAGTTGAGCTCCTCTGAGACTGGTGCAAGCTCTGGAGCCGAGGTCAGATCACGGACTAGCACCGCATAGAGTTCACCACCAAAAGAGCTCAGCCTAGACTGAGTCACTGTCTCGCTGGCATGGTGCCTCACAGACTCTCACAGTGCTCCCTAGAGGCAGTCTCAATTCATTAATGAATGAACTACAGCACATCACCACATTACTTCCTGGGACCCAATTTAAAATAACAAACAAGCTCTTAGGAGACCCTGTGTAAACTGAGATTTGGAAAGTAACATCAAGAACTATAGAGGGAAATCTCAATGAAAATTGTCAAGTTGTCTCAACTGTCTTCCCAACTCTCTATGAACTTTAATTTATGTTAAAATCAGTTATAACTCATATTTTTTGGCAAATGTGACAGTCTCTTCCTACAACGTTATTGAACAAGTTTTATTCAGCTGACTCACTTCCTTCGCCAGATAAACTGCTTCAGACTAAGCCAAAGCAAAGGGCCATATCATTACTGTAGAAAAGCACAATATTGACAAATGTAAATGTCTAAACCAGTTCTACATAAATACAAGCACACAACATACTGTATTGCATAAAGCACAAGAAATGTTATCAAAAACGACTTCCTAACTTCAATTCCTTAACCATTTCAAATTCTCCAAGACCGATGCTGTGTCATTCACTAGACGCACTTTCCCATGCTAAACTTGAGAGAACACTCAAGACAGAGGTCCACCACAAAAAAATGAAAGAGCAGAGTAGACATCTTAACAGCGTCATCTAACTCACCCACATAGTTACAGCTCAGGCCTGCCTCCTTCTCTTTCTCTTTACTAGATCCAGTCAATTCAAACGTTTCAGACTAAAACAAAGAAATAAGAAAAAACAACACACCGTACAAAACCATTTACCGTATTAGACCCTACTGTTCAGACGTTCATAGTGTTGTTAGTTTTAGCAGACATCATCAGCCACTGATCTTTTCACTCCAGTTCCTGTTGCTTTTCTGTCTAGTTCCTGTCCTCTTGCACGAACAGTATGAAGCTCTAAATCAAGGAAGTGAGCAGCATTGTGAAACATCTGCCATTTCAAGGAAGGCAAGAAACATGGAAGAACTTAACTGGTTGACTTGCTAAATTCAATCCACCTGCAAGTGCTAAAAATGGAGTATCATCCATAGTATCATCCAAATAGACTGACATGGCTACAATATATTTCTAGTTAATATATATTGTCTCACCTCTGTTTACCACCTACTGTCAAACATTGATAATAAGTACTACATATTATTACAGAAAATGTTGATGAGTGAATTAATTGTGCCTATCAGTAGATGGCACTTGCAAGCCTAACTTTGAGTTAATATTTGTACAGCAAAAGGATGTATGTTAGGTTAAAGAACAAAGGCATCAGGTTTGGTACATTGTAATGATTTATTTACATAATTCTACTATATAAAAACACAAAGGAATTCATAGAAAAATATCAAACTAAAATGAAGTGCAGTATAAAATCTGTTTTGCATTGTTTAAAATACAACTTTGATTATATTAAATGTTCTAAAAATATTGACAATTGGGAAGGCAGATGGTGTTGAAAGGCTCACTTTCCTCCCCCCCCCTTGTGGAGAAAGAGGGGAAATACCTACATTTGCATGTTGGGTTCTTCTCAGCATGTATGCCACATCAACGCATCTCACAAGGCAAAATATCTCATCTGACCTGCCCAGCCTTCTTTTATGTACCCCGGTGTAGATATGGTCGAAATCCACACCGCCCCCACCCACTAACAATACAGTGCTCCATTCAGGCTTCCCTCCATTCACCCTTCGCTGTCCCATCTCTACATTTCAGCTCTCTACACCATATCTGTCAAAGTGTCGCATTATGATGCCTAGCTCCAGCTCCACAGTGCCCATAGCAACTGTGTGCAGCCTATATCTGTCCGCCCCACTGTATACAAGGTCTGGGGAGCGCAGTTGGGGACCTCCACCCACGAAGGTTTGAGCCAGCTGCTCCTGCCAGGATCCCAGTGGTCTCCAGGTCACACAGCGTACATGGTGGTGCCCTGGGCTGGAGGGCACATGGCAATATCCATAACCATACAGATGACAACGCCCAAATGAATCCTGGTGCCAAACCTGCAGGTGAAGCTTGGGCCAACCTGAAGGGGAATAAAAGACAAACAAGTCTTACCCTGGTATTACCCTGAAAACTAGGCTTGGTAGATGTAACTATGTATAATATGTAATATAATAATAATATGCCATTTAGCAGACGCTTTTATCCAAAGCGACTTACAGTCATGCGTGCATACATTATATTTTTTGTTGTTGTGTATGGGTGGTCCCGGGGATCAAACCCACTACCTTAGCGTTACAAGCTCCGTGCTCTACCAGCTGAGCTACAGAGGACCACAGCTAGCTTTCGATTTAGATCTGTGATGAACTGTTACTTTGAATTGTTACCTTGCAGTCCTTTAGTGGTGTAGTGTAGATCAATGGGATGACTCCAGTATGCCATATCCCCCGTCTGAGGCAAATCCACCTGGGTCTGCCCCTCCTTCAGGCCAGAGAGAAGTCTCCATGCACCTCCTTACATAACGAGAGAGAGAAGTGTTGTTGGAAACTGAGAATCACAACCATAACGGATACGGTCAAGTACACATCCTACTCATTAAAATAATCTGATTATAACGAAAGACACCTGTATGAATTCCCCACTTGCAGAAGAGACTGCTATGAGGGAAGCCGCTAGCCCCGACGATCTGACCGATAATGTGCAGCTCTGCCATTACCGGTATCTGTGCAGCTCCTTTGCCTGTAGGTAGAGACCATAATAACGTTGAATTGATGAACATCTCTGTTTACAGTCGCTAGCTAGCTGGGATTAACGTTAGTTAACTAACAGTAACGTTATAGCTAGCTGGCTAACGTTAGCTAGCCTCGTACGGTCAAAATATATATTCGTCAACATAGCTGGCATGCAAAATGGTTGTTGGTTAGCTAGCAAGCTAGCACATTTGATTAGATAACGTTTTAACAATTTATATAAAACATTGCCAGTGAAAAACAATAATAATGTCAAAAACATACCCCAAGGATTCACTCAGATAAAAATATCGAAGCCACCATGATCCTCATTTCCTTGGAAACCAAACAGGAATCTACGGAAGCTGACGATGAAAGCAGGCAAAGCGCGCATTCAAAAACCACAGATAGAGGATTTAACTGCTCTGTTCCCTTCTTTCGACAGTCAGTATGGATGCCTGGATGACCTTGTAGGAAACTAGGGAAATTAATTGTCCACTAGCTTAATGCAATGGAAGTGTTTTCTTACACAGACACTGCACAATAGTATAGCTGGCTGTGTACATTTCTATCAATAAATGGTATGTAATGTAGGGGAGAGTGGTGTCAGTTGAGCCAAATGGTCTAAGTTGAGCCACCCTTGTTTCTAGGAAACCATGCACAAAATTAATAATTTGACTAAATATTTAGGATGAGGTCATCATTTCATGAAGTCTGTGAAGGAAGAAACCACGTGGAAAAAGTGGTACGCAAGTTATGTTCAAAAAACAGATTTTCACCAAGTCAAATGAATGTATTGTGTTAGAGGTTTCATGATGCTTGTATCTAAACCAAAATAGATAATTTTAGGATTGTTCTATACATCAGTTGGGGTCTCTATAAGCTTCAATATGAGGTCCTAAACCTAGCATCAGTGGTGGAAAAAGTTGCCAATTGTTATACTTGAGTAAAAGTATGTATATCTTAATAGAAAATTAGTAAAAGTGAAAGTCACCCAGTAAAATACTACTTGAGTAAAAGTTTAAAAGAATTTGGTATTTAAATATACTTAAGTATCAAAAGTAAATGTAATTGTTAAAATATACTTAAGTATCAAAAGTAAAAGTATAAATCATTTCAAATTCCTTATATTAAGCAAACCAGACAGCACCAGGGGCACACTGCAACACTCAGACATAATTTACAAGCGAAGCATTTGTGTTTAGTGAGTCCGCCAGATCAGAGGCCGTAGGGATGACCAGGGAAGTTCTCTTGATAAGTGTGTGAAATTGACAATTTTAATGTCCTGCTAAGCATTCAGTAAATGTAAAAGTAAAAGTAGTCAAAAATATAAATAGTAAAGTACAGATACCCCAAAAAACTACTTAAGTAGTACTTTAAAGTATTTTTACGGAAGTATTTTACGTCACTGCCTAGCATGAAAGTGCATCGTTGTAGCTGTGTGGGCTAATATAGTCAAAATGTTTGCCTTGGATAAGTTTAGCCAATGGCCATGGGGTAAGTTGAGCCAATGGTTGAGCCAATGGCAAGTTGAGCAAATTGAAGTGTTTGTTTCCAGGCGTAATGCAAAGTGTTTTAAAAAAGTACAACGTTTTTGTTAGGCGTTAAGCCTGTATTAAAATATGCTTAAAGTTGCACTATCCAAAAATCGCTCCACCATTTCCTGGTTGCTAAAACTCTAATAGTTCGCCTAATTTCAGTTTATTTGACAAAATAACATAGTATAGTGTAGAGAATCATTGTACCATCTAAACCACAGTGAAATATATTTTCCATAACCAAAAATATTGTTGTTTCAGCTGTTTGAAGCTGGTGTACAAAACCGAAATGAAAAGAGCAAAAACAAAACTTAAGAACAGGAAGCATAGAAATAGCACAGATAGAACAGATCTACCACTTCTAAGACTTGCTTTCAAGTAGGATGATAAGATCTATAATTCACATTTATATGTGAATTTGGTCGGGTCGCCCAAAAAGATTAAAATACAAAAAAGTGATTGTTATTGTGTTGAATTGTGTTTGTCAAATAAAGATAGACATGGTTTTAAAAAGGTAGTGGTAATATTTCATTCAGTACATAAATGTGTAGGCGGCTTGACTTGTGCCAAGTGACCACTTTTTTTGGACAAGCTATGTTTTCGAAACTGTAATGTTTACATGAATTGTGATTATTTCCAGGGATAAAACATTCTGAAATATATGTAGATATCTTTGTTAGAAAGAATACTTTATTTCCCTTGAAGGAGTGACGCTGAATGTAAAACATTGCTCAACTTACCCCACTCTCCCCTAATGTGATGATGCATTATTGTGTGCTAGGCTACACAAGGATGCATATTGCTCGCTATGGGAATGAAAGAGACAAGAAAACACCAAACATTTTCTATGGCATTTAATTAAGCAACTTATAAATAAGGAAACAAAAAAAACAATGAACTTAGCTAACACATGGCAGAGCAAAAGTTAAGGAGATAGGTGTGGGGCAAATAGTTATAAAGACTAGGTATGCTTACATTACATTACATAATTAAAAACAGTATCAAGAAATTCACGCTCTCTCCATAGCCAGAGAATGACAGCAGACAGGTTGAAACCAAATAAATGATATCAAAGATAAGATAATATAGCAATGTTTTGCATCAGTCCATATCACTTACAAAAGGTGGCAACAATAAGAGGCCATTATTGCCCTTGTATTTTCATTAAGGATGGACAGGAGGATTGAAAGTCTTTATGGTAGATAAATCATAATTTCCCCCCTAGAATGAAAATCCCCCACAGTCAAAGGCATCAAAGTCAGAGTCTGCCCCCTCAAAGTCAAAGCTGTGGAAGTGAGGAGAGTCAACAACAGTCTGATTGCAGGAGTGGTACGCCCCTGCTGAGCCCAGGTTAGAGAAGTCTGTGGTGGGCGGCAGGTCAGGAGGCCTTACGTCAGGATTAGCAGGAGAGCATGCACCCAGGTAACCCATGGCAGAGGAAGCAGCGGCCCCTCCCATCAGCAGATACACAGCCCTCACTGCCTGGGCATCATGGCTGGTGCCATGGCGCAGACAGCCCACTGAACGACTAGTCCCTTTGTCTCTCTTCATGTGGGGAGATTTCTGGCCTGTGGTGGGAGGTAGAGAGAATGTCATGACAATCCTTAATTGCTGTCTACTCTACGCCACTGGACTGCTGGCTTTTTTTCCCTACAGACTCATCCCCCAAAAAACTTTAAACAGTCACGTAGACAGTGGGTAAATTAATTCACAGACAAAATTGCATAAAAGATTAGTAATGCCGTAAATCCTGTATTTCTCACCTTTTTCCTTTTGTGGGGTGCTGCCTGTGGTTGGCCCAGGAGAATTTGGCCCAGCAGAGATTGACCCAGGAGATCTTGGCCCAGGAGATCTTGGCCCAGGTGATGTTGGCCCAGGAGATCTTGGCCCAGAAGATCTTGGCTCAGGAGATCTTGGCCTAGGGTATCTTGGCCCAGGAGAGAAGACCTCCATATCACTGAGCGGTGGAGTTGGGGGATCTTTGTCAGAGATGGGGTCTGGAAGCGGGTCTCTGTCAGTGATACATCGGGTCGAAGCATTATGGCGTCTACAGGAGGACATTGGTGACGATACACTCTGTAGAGGAGAAAAGTGTATAGCTGTGATATCAAACCTTTGAGGAAGAGTACCCTACATCTTGCAATGCTATCGCTCACAGTCACATCACTGACAACTCTCCCAGTTTGTTCAAATGAGGAGGGTGAGTTAAGATTCAAATTAAGGAGGCATAGGCTCACCTCTCGCACTTTCCTCAGCATGTTGACCCATTGACTGAAGAGAGAATATGACATATTATTACTTCAGTAGTACACAGAACATAGATTCATCAACATGAGATTAAAGAAAGTAAAGCTCTGACACTGCATAATGCTGCCAACTCCAGTAATCCCCATCCCTCCCCAGCCTCTATCTCACATTGCTCTGTCAACCAACCTGCAGTCCTCTGCGTTGTCAGCCAGTAGCAGCAGGAACTTCTCCTGAGGCAGGATCAGAGCAAAGCAGCAGTCCCTGCGTCCTCCAGTGGGCAGCTTGGGCAGGTCCAGGATCTCCCTGCCCTCCACGATGGCCTCACAGCCCCCCTGCAATGCCACCATCTGGTCAGGAGGGGACACTGCATCGTGACTCACCAACACACAGCCGTCAGCTGTCAATATGAGGTACCTCTCCTTCCATTGTTTGAACATAAAGCCACCTGGAAGTGAGAAGTGGTGGTTGGTAGGGGATAGGAAGAAGGAAGAGTGCATGATGGATGGTGAGAGAGCGGAACAAACAAGGACTACATACGTCTTTCAGAACAGAAATACTTAACACCCAAAGCACGTTGACAGGATTAACCATGTGTGTGAGGTGTATACTTTTGTTTCAAAGTAGATTTGTTTAAGACTACCAAGAAACACTCCATGTGACCCTGATTTAACCCACTGCAGTAAAAGGTTAAACTAACTTTGTCACGATGGTGATGATGATGATGATGATGATGGAAGCAGTGTGCCAGTGGTTTGTCCACTCTCTGCTTGCTATTCTCTCATCCTTTAGGATTAAAACAAGTCACATGGTTGGAGGATCAAGAGGGGGGCTGGACCAAGCAGATAATACTGCCTATAGCGTGCACTTGAACTAGAATAAACAGTGCCACACATCTGGATCCACTCACCACATCAGGGCATATAGAACAATCAGTCCAGGAGAGGAGACAGCTGTTAAGTGGGCTGAACAGCTGTTAAACTCATTAGCATATGGCATTTGACTGCATCATATCACCATGTCCTAGTTAATTGATACAAATTAGTTTGAACACTCTCTCATGTGGTCTGATCTACTAATCTATTCCTGCCCTAGGCTGTCTGTGCCAGACCTCCAAATCACTATTTTTTCTCTGCAATTGCCCAACTAATTCCACATGATACAACGCATGGTATGCTGATGAAACATCTTCCACTCATTTTACAGAGAGCAATTATGGTTAAGTGCCTTGCTCAAGGGCACATTGACAGATTTGTTTCACCTAGTCAGCTCTGGGATTCAAACCAGTCAGTAATCTTTCGGTTACTGGCCCAACGCGCTTAACCACTAGGCTACCTGCCGCCAACTCGTAAGTGTCCTGTATTTATTCACAAATTATACATGCTGTATTGATGCCTCTAAAGCTCAATAGATCTAGCTAAGCACCGGACATAGACTGTAAGATGTTTCCCCACTGTCATAACGCAAAAGAAGCTTGTCTGTCTATGCCAGCCATCATCCAATAAATATTTATATGGATTTTACATAGGCTTCAATCTTGTCCCAAATCTAACAACTGAAGATAATCATATTTTTTTTAAATCATCAATAATTAACATTACAATAATAATTATAGTAACGTCTTACCAATCATTACTACTAAATAAAAATAACGAAAGTAAAAGAGAGGAGGACTGGAGTGTCTTACCATACTTCCTGAGAAATCCACGGTGAATCCCTGCAACACTCATGTTTAAAGGTTAGCCTCCATGAGAGACAAGGCGCAAGAGATGGAGAGAGCGATGGCTTGATTTAGGCAGGATGCAGAGTGAGCGTGCCTGTGTGTGTTTGGTATGTTTTAGTGCTGAGGCATAATCCCCATTCAGCTGGAGCATCCCACACAGGCGCAGTTCAGAAGCTTGGAATGAGATTGGGTTTACTGTCCTTAGGCAAGCCAAGTACAATCACATAAACAACACATGCCAGTGCAAATCAAAAGTATAATACTGAAGTATGAACGGTCAAATCTGATGCAAAGTTCCTAACATTCAAAATGACCTATAGCCTAACCATGTGTGCAACATTTTCACTCATGCATATAGCATTAGAGAAAGCACATATTCACTGGGTAAAGCATATATAATCTGTCCTGTCAAGTGTGCTATTACTGACTTTATGCATAACCACCAGCTTCTCTCTTCTCTTGAGCCACTTGATAGTATTTCCTATCGATACTTGCATGCACTAAAATCACTAAAACATGCACTATGACTCAGTGATTTAAGTCCTCAATCCCTAAAACATGCACTATGACTCAGTGATTTAAGTCCTCAATAATTGGTGTGTTTCTTAATCTTAATTCCATTAACACTTTTCATGTGAAGTGAACAACAACCCCCTGTAGTGGGGTGCGATGAGATCACATTGACAATCCCTCACTGTCTTTTGACCCTAGATTATTGCGGCTGCCAGGGATTGCTGTATCTCTCCACAGATGGTTTGTGGGAAATAGGAATGGACAGACTGATCCCATGTTAATCTTTAATAACCTATGTGAATGTTGCAGCATCAATCCCATATGATTTTAAAATGTCATAGATGGAACAGACAGTAAGCATTTTGCTGTGGGATAACAGTCATTCACATCTCTGCAGATAAATGCTTTTTGTTTGTTTTTCATAAGAACTTTAACAATGAAAACTGAGAGAAAGCTTTCTCATAAGTGCATCCATCCTGTATCATATGCTAGCATATTATTTCATATGAAGATGTGCTTTTCTGTCATTCATTATTTGAACATCCAGATGTGAGATCATGTGTAACATATTGTTTTTCAAGCCTAGCTCTCGGGACAAACAGGGTGTGTAGAGGCTTTTGCGCCGGCCCAGCACTATCAAACATGGTTCATTTTAGGCAAAATAATTATTAGTTGATTATTTGAATCAGGTAGTATTAGCCATCGATGAACCCCCAGGACTATGATTGAAGAGCACTGCTATGGCATGAGATGATGCTGTTCTAGCCTAGGACATTTTATTGCAGTGTCTGTGTCTCTTTTGTGATTCTAAGAACATCCACAGGGGCGCCACAATACCATATGTACAGTATGTTGAATGCTTTTTATGTTGCCATGAAATAGGGTTGTGACTAGATCGAGTACAGCTACGACCGGAAATTACTTTTCATAGCAGGTTATGAGAACATTTTAGCTAACCCTAACCCTTTTCCTGACCTAATTCTCCTAACCTACTACGTTAATTCTCCTGACCTACAGCGTAAGTTCTATTAACATGTTAGCTAATTTTCCCCTAAATTCGGACACTCTAGCGGTTGGAGGACTAAATCACCTCGAGCTCAACATTTAAATGGCCTGGAAAATAACGGTACGTTTTGCGACTGAAGACACCCTTCTAGCTAGCTGACCACCGATAATACCACTGATAATACGGGGTTCCACGCTATGTAAAAGTCACTTCTGGTCATAGCTTTATACCACCTAGTCAAAACCATGAAATAGCCTACTGCTAAACAGCTACTAAAGCCGCTATTTCCTCATTTTAGAAACACATCCGGCTTGTTTTGAGGAGTGAAATTTGCCCCTTAAATTAAATTTATTTTATTTACATAATTGTTATGATAAAAAAGTTGGCTTATAAATTCGTTTTTGTATGTGTAAAGCCTGCTGTCTCTAAAATAATAATCTTATTAACCATTTCACTGTTTTCTCAACTGGCTGGTATATCATGTTTTGACAGTGGATTTAGATGTGGAAACAATGTTGATTCAACCTGTTTTTGCCCAGTGGCTAATGTCTACATTTGTTTTTGCCACGTTTATTCTATTACAGACACCTTAATGCATACTTTAAAATTATATGATGTGAGCTAAACATCCAAAAAAAAAAAAAAAAAAACATTTTCTTAAAGTATGATTTTTAGAAAGTACTAATATTACTGTCCCCACTACAACAACAAAAAGTATTAAATACATGTAATTTGGTCATTGAAACATTTAATTGAAGTACTGTAGAATTCCATTCATTATAGAGCAGGGTTTCCCAAACTCGGTCCAACATAACAGCTGATTTAAATAATCAAAGCTTGAGTTTGGGAAACCCTGCTCTGGAGGACTGCATATTCTGAAGAGTGCAAATATGGCCAACCTGTAGCTTAAAAGCCTCTCATTGGTCAATACATAGCATCAGCAATCCAGTGTTTATATACACATTTGGTATGAACCGCCTGGTAGAGCTCTGTAATTTCCATAATAAATATCAACATTATTTGAGCTGTAAGTAGTAGGGTGTTAAGGTGAAATAACTTTTCACATTCTTTTTTTCAAGGAGACAGTTAAAGGGTTAATAAAAAGCAGCAGCCTACTTTTCAACATCAGAGAAATAGAACAAGTATTTATTTATAGTATGTTGCTGGGGGGAACAAATACTATAAAAGTATGATTTTGTTCACATAGCCAGTATTCATTCACAAGCTTTCTCAATTCACTGTTTCTTCAACGGTTGAGTGTGCATGAAGGTCAATAAAGTAAGTGAAGAGAGGGGAGGGAGGAGTAATGGAGGGAAAAAATGTCAAGAGCTGAAGTTTGCCCATAGAGTAATTCAACCGATGTTGAGAGACAGTAGGCATGTCTAATACTCGCGCACTATTCGCCTATTATAAACTAAATTCAGTATCGAAAATAAGCTGGATTTTATGTATCCTACCTTCTGAATTCGACTCATTGAAGAAGCAAAACAATTTAAAGAATTCCCATGGCATAGTCTAAATGTAACTTTGTGGAAAGCGGCTGAAACCTTCAAGAAATAAAGTCTAACATTTGGATATTGTGCGAGGAAGATGACTAATTCTTGCCAGGAATCATGCAAATATGTATGAGGCATACTTTTTGTCGTAGTAGAGAGCAATCTTATTCTTCAAGAGCAAACCTGAACGAGGATGAACGGCGGCAGAGGGCGTGTACCGTTATTTGTTCTTCTGTTGATGGATATAGGTACAGTGGTAGGCCTACCTGTGCCAGGTGAGTCAGCATGGACGATAACGGAGGCGCTGTCATAACGTATATTTTATTATTTGAAAAACCTTCTAAAAAGTATAGGCTTTTCCTTCATTATGGTTTATTTTACTTATGAAGGTTTTAGGCTGATATAGGATTCCAGATGTAGGATCTTAATTTGAGCCAGTTTGCTACAGCAGGAAAATAATCCTGCAGCAACAGAAAATGTTCATTATTATGTGGATTATAATTAATGGACATTTTTGTAGGGTTTGATACATTCTTCTTAAGGGGAAATCACGTCTGATATTTCAAAGTGGAAATTACAAACTTCAGAAGCCTTTTTAAACCTCAAATACACTACAACTTTTAAATGTCCTGCAGTGCAGTAAAGTTCTCCTGCAAGAGGGTGCTCAAATTAAGATCCTACATCTATAGGCTACTATTAAAATGAATGAATTTTACTCTCTGTTTAATGGTAAACTACTCTTAACTCTTGCTTCCCCTAGTGAACTTGGTATTCATTAATCTTTGAATTAATTAATGGGCAATAGTCACTGAATATCAGTTTAACATTCAGAGGTGTTATGGGTGTCCCCCCTGTTTTTTAAATTAAGCGTTTCAGTTTGTGAAGAGCCCGGCCAACGTAACCTCATCCCTGGGTAAGCCGGTGCAGGTACACTGTACTCTCCAGGGAGATGGGGGTGGAGAGGAGCCTCCGGATGTGGTGTGGTTGAGGGACGGTCAATCCCTTGATTACACTGACACCAATCAAGTGCAAGTGCCTGTCACTGAAGGAGGTTGGCTGACCATCAGTGAACTCAGGTCTTTCTTCAGTATGACTCTCTCTCTCTCTCTTTACATTATGTCGGTCAGAACAACAAGGCATCTTATTTTTAGTAATATATCTGTCTGTCCTCAGAATTGATAATATGAACAGTGGGGAGGAAGGACTTGATGTCTCAGGAGGGGCACATTCAGCTGGAGGGTAAAGTGTCCCTTTTCTCATTTTTGATAATATTTCTGTCTATATTCTACTGTATCTTACTGAAAGTTCATCATCTTTTCCAGGAATCCCTCATTTCTCAGTGAAGCCTCATGACGTGACAGTGGTGGCTAATGTTAGCCTCAGCCTGCAGTGTGTGGCCCATGGGCCTCCAGAACCAGTCAGGATCATCTGGCTGCAGAACGGAGGACCACTCAACATGCTCCAGGACCTGGTGTCCCACTCTCCCTCCACTCTCAACATCACAGGCAAAGACTGTCTTACTGTCTCATTTGCATGCTGCACGTAGAACGAATCAAAATGAAATCTAATTGTATTTGTCACATGCTTTGTAAACAACAGGTGTAGACTAACAGTGAAATGCTTACTTAATGGTCCTTTTCCAACAATGCATAGTTAAAGATAAAAAATTAAACATTTAAATAGTGACACGAGGAAAAAATGCTTCTATTGCTATGTATTGTGCGATGTAAAACATGTTTTCAGAAGCAATTCTTTCATAAAAGAGTGTTGATAAAATCAAAAGCATTCATTATCTCACTGACCACCTCTGACTGTCACCATGTAGGTCTCAACCATACCAGCAGCTTCTCCTGTGAAGCCCACAACAGTAAAGGTGTGGCTACCTCAGCCTCTGGAACAGTGACAGGTCCGTACCAACAGGGCAGGGGTGCAACATACATTTCTTAACATGCTGATTGGATTGGTTTTATCCATGACTATCTCTCTCTCTCTGTCTTGGCGTAGTGGTTCCCTCCCAGGCACAGAAAGTCCAAGCTGAAGAGGTCACCAACTCTTCCCTGCACATCTCCTGGGTGCCTGGCTTTGGAGGGGTATATCCTGTCTCTGTGTGTTCTATACAGGTAAGACTCATCCAAGAAACTGTTGTGACTGACTATAGAATAGTCTAGATACAGAGCCAAATCAAATCTAAAAGTAACTGCTCATGAAGTTATACACTGAGTGTATAAAACATTATGAACACATGCTCTTTCCATGACATAGACTGACCAGGTGAATGTATTCTTAATGTTTTGTGCACTCAGTGTATACCATGGTTGATATTTCAGGCAGCTCCGTCTAGTCCTGACCGCAACCCATTGCGTAATCACCTGATCCATAATCAGAATGTCAATGTACCCCCTGCTCAACACCTGACCCCTGAACTGAAGCCCTACACCTACTATGACGTGATAGGTGGCTTGCCGTAGCAGTCAAGGTTCTTCCCCGTGGACACCATGGGTAACACTGCGCACAGCTGAAGGAGGTAAGCTGTATGCCACGATCCTCTACCCACAACCCATCAGTGTTTATAGCATTCTATTACTGATAATGTTTTTCGTTATTATAACGTAGATGCAGGGAAAACAAGGGCCGCATCGGACATGAAAACGCAAACAATACTACCTGATGACTAGTAAAAAAAGAGTGCTATATGAAGGGTAAGTAATCAAGGGAGTAATGAAGTCCAGGTGTGACTGATGATGAGACGCAGGTGTGCGTAATGAGGGTTGCCAGGTGTACGTAAAGATGGGTTGCCAGGACCAGTAGTTAGTAGACCGGTGACGTCGAGCGGGAGTGGACGTGACAGTTATTTGTATTCACGTCTACATTTCTTAGTCATTTTAGCAGTTGATTTCATCCTGAGTGACTTACAATAAGGAAATTCAACAAGTGCAACAACACCTATGTAGCAGAGCTCAGTGACTTACAGGGAATATGGGAGGAGCAACGAGAGTAGTCTCAGTTGAGTGACTCGCTGTGAAAGACGGGTTTTGGGACAAAGATTGTTCTTGAAAAAACTATTTGGGAATTGGTTAAGCATTCTCAAGTGTTTTTTGATAGAATAAACTGAAGAGATAAGGACCCGACATTAAATGAAGATTTTCAGTGCTGTTCCTCTGGGCTGGTAATAGACAGTAAAGTTTGCCAGTAAGAACACTCCTCCTCTCCATCCTCAGTGTTTTAAATATAAACCTCTATATTGAGCGAGCTGCCTGAGTGAAGGAGGAGGTACTGAGGGCTGGAGGGAAACAGATTAAACATTCTCTATTCATGGTTTGGCAGAGGTGGTGCAGTCCTGCTGTGTCCATAATGCTGCAGTGTGTTTGAATTAAGGCTAGAGGATAAACTTTCTTTTTTCTCATGCTTTCCACAGTCTGTGATGTAGACATGTTTGTGTCAAGGAAAAGGAATAAAAAGAGACTTTGGAAGGAGAAACAGCCGTGTAGTGTACATCAACACATGCTGACCTCTAAAAGTAAAAAGTAGTCAGGAAAAACGGCTGAAAAAACCTCCTAATTCAATTAAATCAGTAACCTGATTTTAGGGTTAAAAGAAAACTCCCTTGTGCTGTGAGAATGTAAGTTTGGATTCATTTGATTTGATTAACTAAAGGATGTTGACTGTGTGAAGGAGAAAAACAAGATATTTGTTGTTGCATGCAGTAAAAGACTCATGAATCTGAGTTCTTCGTGTAACCTAACCATTTAGACTCTACTCTGTCGCTTTATCTGAAAATAACATGCACACGCATGAGGTGGCACAGATCTTTAAGGTGTGTGTGCTATACTTTGTGTTGTAAATAGAGCACATGTTCCCGACCTCCCCACAAAGATGTACAGGAATATTTAGGAAAGATATCTTATCCCTCTCACCTACAGTACATCTCTCAACTGCTCCATGAGTCAGAGTTAGAGAGGAGTGAGAGGGACATAGGCAGAGGGAAAGACAGTTGGAGGGATAGAGGGAGAGGTGCTTGTGTTTTTGTTGGCTGAGGTAGAGCCACGTCTTGAAACAATCAGCAGTGGAACACTCAGTGATGACATCACCGGGCTGGGTCCAGTACAGACCACGCCCACGCTATGACTCACAACGTGACATACAAAGATGTCTTTATTTACATTGTTGTCTTAATAAGATAAATATTATGCACAGAACTTGTCTTTAAATACACACTGGTTTTAACAACATGAGTCCGGTAGTGTATATTACAGATCATTTAATATGTTGTACACATTATTCCTTTTTGTGTGTATCTGACAGTGCCAGAGGCAGCACCAGACAACGTGAGTGGACTGTTTAATGGAACAGATGTTATTGCCAGCTGGTCCAAGCCACCAAGCAGATTAAATGGCCTAATACTGGGGTACAGAGTAGAATACCTCACTGTTAACATGTCCCAGGTAACCTATGTAGCACTTTTTACACAAAACAAACCTACTGTGACACACACACACACACACACGCACACACAGAGTGTAATGGCATCTTTGCTGTTGTTCTGTTTCCCTATCTTAGGCTGTTATGGAGTCAGTTGAGTCCTCTGAGCTAGCTATCCCTCTCTCTAGCCTCCTGGACAGTTGCAGGTTGCGGCCCCTGGAGCCCAGTCCAATCCCTCAAACAGAAACAGCCTGGTGAGTCTGGACAGAATCGAGGGAGACAACAGGATGGCTGGGATGGGTCAAGGAGAGTGGGAAAACAGCAGGAGATTCAAAATGAATATTTGAGGGGCTGTGTTTTCTAGGTTGATTTATTCAGTAGCACAGTATAATGTCTGAAATACTATAGCTGACATATATCTCTCTTTCACATGTGTCCGCCCATCAGGCATTCTCCTGGCATTGGTGGTATGTGGTCATGGGGATTGCTGTCAGTCTGGCCTTGATAGGGTTCATCGTATATGCAATTATAATTATAGATACTGCGCCCGACGCACCTACAATCGGCAGTCAAATGAAGCCACATGTGAGTTGTCATGCCAGTGATGTAAGAGAAACAGTGCAGGGTGAGCAGATAGGTTAGTTATTTAAGTGAATGCCTAAAATGATGTGTCATGCAGGGTGAGAGTTCAGGAACAGATGTTGAGGCTTAGATTTCATCCTGTTGCTCAATGTTGTTCTGTGCCAGATGTGGAGAAGCAGAGTAGTGTCATGATCTGGCTGTTAACACATCCCTGTGGATTGAACTGAGAACAGAGTTCAGATCGTGGTAGAGTCATACTGCTAGTATTCCTAGGGTCTAAATCAGGGGTTCCCAAAATGTTTCACTCAGGCCCACCTTCCATCATTCGGGAACCACTGGTCTAAATCATAGTTTTGGGATCTGTTTGTTAATAGAGTGAATAAAGCATTGTTATGGTGAGGTAAACAGGAAGAGAAAACATATACTGTAAGCCTGGAGCAGTTTAACAATAATGGCTTCATGATCTGGGTTGTGTTACTAAGCCGGGATTTCACAAGGACAACATCCCCTGTAAGGGATCACTCAGTTATGTTTTGGCAGTTGTTTAAGGACAGTGGGGGAGGATTCATGCTAAAGTTATTTTCCAAGATGTCATGTTTTTAGAAATCCCTGTTTCAGTGTAAGAGAGTATTATCTATCCCTTTCAACAGTGAACAGCCTGGTGATTAGTGATGAATTGAAGCAGAAAGACGTGATGGTGGACAGACACAAGCTGACCCTGGGCAAGACCCTTGGAGAGGGTGAGTGAGCTCTGACAGAAGCCTTTATCATACATTATGTAACCTAGACATTAACTACTCAGGCTACGAGTAAACATCCCAGGGAGGCTTAGATCACCAGCTACACCCACCTGACTAACAACACGTCCATGTCTTACTCTGCAGGGGAGTTTGGCTCTGTCATGGAGGGGCTTCTGGTGCATGAACAGACTGTCCTCAAAGTGGCTGTGAAGACCATGAAGAGTGAGTGATCAGACAGTGTCAGATGCCCCCATGTATGTCAGTTTTACGTGAGCCACCTTCTCCTCCCTCTCTCCTTCTCTTAGTTTCCATCTGCACTCGCACTGAGATGGAGGACTTCCTCTGGGAGGCTGCTTGTATGAAGGAGTTTGACCACCCCAACGTCATGAGACTCCTTGGTGAGACAGACTGGGTCACTTGTCACAACTTCATCCATCTACTATTAAAATGTGGTCAATAACCAAGTGTCTGATAAGGGTCTGTTATAAACTCCAAACTATCGACTGGATTCATTATTTTATTCCCTGTCCTCCCTGTAGGGGTGTGTCTGCAGGCAGTAGAGAGAGGAGGCTACCCCTCCCCTGTGGTCCTCCTGCCCTACATGAAGCATGGGGACCTGCACAGTTTCCTGCTCTACTCTGGACTTGGGGACAATCCTTTGGTCAGTTCCCTTCCCTCCCACACAGATCGGAAAAGTTTATGTTACACAAATACATTTTTGCGTTGTTCCCTTTCACATTTTCCATTTGTGCTGCTATATAGCACCCCCTGTTGGAGAAAACTGCCTTATCTAATCCTCTCCATCTCCTCTCCACCCATCAGTCCCTGCCTTCTCAGATGCTGGTGAAGTTCATGACAGATATTGCACAGGGAATGGAATACTTGAGCAACAAGAGGTTCATCCATAGAGACCTGGCAGCGCGAAACTGCATGTGAGGATTCGCACCTCTCGGTTTTGTCAATGTGTTCCGCTCTTTCTCACACATACTCTTCAATATTGTTCTGTGAAAGTCTAGCATGTTGAGTGAAACAAGTAACAGTACAGTGTTTATTATGTTGTACATATCTGTCCTGCAGGCTGAATGAGAATATGACTGTCTGCGTGGCTGATTTTGGCCTTTCCAAGAAGATCTATAATGGGGACTATAGACAAGGACGCATTTCAAAGATGCCAGTAAAATGGATCGCCATCGAGAGCCTGGCAGACAGAGTTTACACCACCAAGAGTGATGTGGTGAGCAATCTTTCTTGACTTGGTCTGGCTACATTATGTACTCCATGTACACCTCTGTATTTGTGTTTTAAAATCCTGCAACATACAGTGCATTCGGAAAGTATTCAGACCCTTACATTTTTCCACATTTTGTTACGTTACAGCCTTATTCTAAAATGGATTAAATGTACATTTTTTATTTTTTATTTGTGAGTTCCTAGTTCTGGATCTGTACACGTAAATCCTCTGTACACTAAATTATAATTATTTGATGGTAAACAGTAGAGGCAACCAACGTAATTTTCATGGAGTACCTGAAGTTATTTCTTCTCATGTTGTATGAGCCTCAGTCGTCCCCTCCTCTCATTCATACTGTAGCTACTTCCTGATGTTCTCCTGCTCGCTGCTGAGTCCTAAGGACCGCCCAGGATTCCCCTCTCTGCGCTGTGACCTGGAGAAAGCCCTTGAGGAGATGCCTGAGCAGGAGGAGGCTGATGACCTGCTCTATGTCAACATGGAGGAGCCCTCAGGCTCTCTGTTAGGGGCCATTGGGAGGCTGGGAGCCCTCAGGCTCTCTGTTAGGGGCCATTGGGAGGCTGGGAGCCCTCAGGCTCTCTGTTAGGGGCCATTGGGAGGCTGGGAGCCCTCAGGCTCTCTGTTAGGGGCCATTGGGAGGCTGGGAGCCCTTTGGCTCTCTGTTAGGGGCCATTGGGAGGCTGGGAGCCCTCAGGCTCTCTGTTAGGGGCCATTGGGAGGCTGGGAGCCCTCAGGCTCTCTGTTAGGGGCCATTGGGAGGCTGGGAGCCCTCAGGCTCTCTGTTAGGGGCCATTGGGAGGCTGGGAGCCCTTTGGCCTGCCTCACCCCTCCTACCGGAAGAACATGGGCACTCTGGAAACCATACAGGTGCATCATCATAATCATCATGCAGAACGCTATGTTCTCTGCCCTCAGCACGAGGCCCAGCCCTATCTCAATGACTCTATGGACAGCCTGAGCTGGATGGCCTCCTCTTCGAGCCCCACTCTGCAGCTCCAGGCATCCCGCTCCTCCTCCCCCACCTCCTCTCTCCTGCTGGACGGACAGGCAGTGAGGCTTGGAGAAAATACACAGTGACTACCAGTGGTTGTTTAGAAATACTGAAAAATGTGGACGGAAATTCACTTTTTATTGGAAGACTGTCGTGTAGTCAAATGAACAAGCTCTAAAGAAATCATTGATTTGTTGTGTTACGGTTCAACTGTTGTGCACATACACTGCAGTAAATTATCACTAAATGTGCAGCCACCCCATCACATGCTAAATATCTTCCCAATATTAAGTTAAGAAATCAAAATCACCTAATTCATTGGCACTGACTGTGTTATAAATTGGTATAATATTCTACTGAAAGAAACCGACATCAAACTGTAAGTGCATCAATACCTTTATTTAATAAACCAATGAACAAACCCATTAATTAACCAATCTTTGTTTTAAGAACACAAAGTTGTGAGTTCTCTCAAACTAAACAATGTATTGAATCCAATAATGCATTCATTGTGTTCATAGACTAGAGTCAGCATTACAAGACATTGAATAAACTAAAAACAACACAAACCCTAGTTACTACGTTAACAGCACAGTAACCATAATTAGTTATATTGAGAAAACTTAGAATTATCAACATTAGTAATAATTAAACAGATACAGAGAAGGTTTCAGGAAAATCTGTTGTAGTGTATGCAACACAAATGTCAGTTGAAAAGTAGCAGTTGAAGAGCATTTAAAGAAAATACTGTACTCAACACATTCAATGTACTATATGAGTGGTTATAGAGCTGTTCCAGTGAGATGGAAATTCAAGCGGAATTGTAAAATATTATCCAAGAGATTGTTGTGTCATTAGTCTCAGAGTACATAGTTTGTGTGGCCCCTTGTAGCTCAGTTGGTAGAGCATGGAGTTTGCAACGCCAGGGTTGTGGGTTCGATTCCCACGGGGGGCCAGTATGAAAATGTATACACTCACTAACTGTAAGTCGCTCTGGATAAGAGTGTCTGCTAAATGACTAAAATTAAAAAAAAAAAAAAAATAGTTTTAAAAGAAAAAGTACCAGCCACTATACTCCAGTTGGGCTTATAGTAGAAAGTAGTACCCCAATAATGACAATTTTTGTACAATATCAATAGTTTCTGCTGTCGCATGCAACTAATAAAGTTTGTTCAAATGATTTAGGCACTGAAGTTTAACAAAAATGTACATTCGTATTGTCTACAAACACAGAAAAGCAATGTGCACTGTGTGAGAGATGACATTGATTGAAATATGTAATTGTTATTGCTACATATGCACTTCATTATTGTGCATATTTCTGTGTGCTGGCAATAGGGAGTACTTCCCACATTCATTCCCACATTTCAAGAATTACTGTCACAGAATGTTTCACCCTGACATGGTAACAAACACATCTTCTAAATGCAGTCATTTAGTTTCCATGTGTTTGGCCTATTCGAATGAGAGGGACAAA